CACACACACACACACACACACACACACACACACACACACACACACACACACTTACGAACACACATTGTATGCCAATAAAACATTCCTGGCCCATCTGTTTCCGTGGCCCTGGTATGTACGATGCACCCTGTAACCCTTATATTGTATGCAATGTTGCCGTTCATATGCATATCCAGCTGATGTTCTCTTGTTCTAGCAGTTCTTGTGTCTAGTGATGATGATGATGATGAGGATGATGATGATGATGATGATGATGATGATGATGATGATGATGATGATGATGATGATGATGATGATGATAAAGATGTGAATAACTGTTGATGGTGTGGTGACGATGAATGATGATGTTGGTGAAGATAGTGGTGATAACAATGACGCCAATAATGACGTTGATGATGAGGAGTGATAATAACGTGTACATTGATAATGTTGTTGTTGTTGTTGTTGATGATGATGATGAAGATGGTGACTACGACGACCACGATGGCGATATTCAATGAAGTTTTTCTTGTTGGTCACATCGAATTTTTTTTTTTACTTTTCTCGCGTTTCCTTTTGTCACGACCGACTTCTTTATCTTTGGCCTGTCATTGATTAATTCATACCGCAGCTGTTGCTGTTCTTATTTGTCTTGGGTGGTGATAGTATGGTCACCACCACCCCCTCCCCCCCCCCCTCACACTCACACACACAAAAGTGTGTTTGTGCTTACTCCCTACACCAGATGTATCGGTGGCTTTTGTACTTTGGGAGATTAGGGAACTTATTTAGAACTAGGATCTATCAGAGTAGTCGATTTTTCTAAAGGGTGATCTCATGTGGCTTGCTCCTTCTTTCCTATCAAACATCTATCGTCTTTTTCTCGCCTGCTTCTTGTTTGTGTTTTGTTACTGTTACTCTCGTGTATCATCTGTAACGTTCAGCACTTATGTGCCCTTGTTGTGCTGCAAGTGCCGTAAAACTCTCACTAAAACGTTTTTTTAGAGAACGTTCTCTGACAGATTAAGGAACTTATTAAGAACTAGGAATTACCAGAGTAGTCGATTTTATTTTTCAAAACAATTTGATGTCCAAAGTAAAGAAAGTGTTTGTTGTACTTTATCCAGCATCTGTGGCTCGTGCGAAGCTCAGACACCGCAAAACCACCACCACCACCACAACCACAACTACAACCACAACCACATCTACACCACCCACTACCACTACCCCTACCACCACCACCGCTACCACCACAACCACTACAGAAGCAACCACAACTCCCCCCACAACTACAACCCTAACAACCAACCCGACATCGCCTGAGAGTCTGGAGCTGACCACCATGACGTCACCAGAGGTCAACCGACCTATTGACCGGATCATTCCGATCGAGTTCGACACAACCTTTCCTGGTATTAAATCCACCACCATCTCTGTATGAACTCACTTATAAAGGGTCCTTATCACCCTCTCTGCATAAACTCACAAAGGGATTCTGACCTCTAAATCTTCCACTAACAGAGACGTTTTCGAGTTGAGAGTCTTGCTGTCTAAAAGACCAAATAACCCATGCACTGACTTGTATGAAATATATTTGTATTACTGTTTCCAGACCACCCTGTAAGCTCCAAGATTTTGCCACCCTGCTATTGGTCCTCCTGTCTATCTTTTAGCACTGCCTGACACAGTTATGATAGCATCGCGTCTCTATTTCCAAGCTAATCTTTTATAGACTCTGTGCATGGTGGCTTAGATCACTGAAAACTTCAATTCTGAATCAATACTACTCGTATTTCTGCCTGTTAACTCTTCGCGATGTAGCTACAATTTTATATCAAACTAGGCTTCTGTTATGCTCTATATTTTACACCTTTCAAAACGTACTCTTGTCTATTAACGTGCTTTTAGGTTCTTTTAAAGAAAGTTTTATTCCGTTGGTACATGGCAAGGAACATCTTTGCGCATGCAGTGCGTTTGTGTGTGTGTGTGTGTGTGTGTGTGTGTGTGTGTGTGTGTGTGTGTGTGTGCGTGAGTGCACGCACGCGTGAAATTGAAAATAAGACGTTTCCCTTTCTGTCAGCCCCGACTTAGTCACTATAGTTGGGTTTGTTTTTTGTGTCCTTCTGTTCTCCTTACAATGAGTTGGTTTTTTTGAGTTCTCAAGAATGACCAGAGGCACGTGTACTTGAGCTAGACGAGTGACTGACATCCTTGCCTATGTGGCAGGACCAGCTGTCCAGATATACTGAGCCCAAAATGTTTTATTTTTTTGAAATTGCAATTTCTTATTTGATCATTGTTAGATAAATGGTACTGGTTGCATAAGTGCTCAAGAAATTGTTCAAATTTTCATCCTGAATATTGAAAAAAAGAACAGGAAAAGAAACATAAAGTAGGTTCTTAAAAGAAAGGGAGAGTTTTGTTTGTTTTGTTTTGTTCTCATCAGAAACTTTGCTTTTTGGGTTTAGAACATTTGAACAGCTTGCTGACAATATTGTTATGTTGAGTCCACGAACCCAGGATGTGGCCAAGTACTAGCACGACTACACACAATAATTTGATTTGTTGGTCGTCTGTCCTTCTCATGCTGTGTTGATTTTCGTCCGGACCTTCGCTCAGTTCCAAAGTTGTTGAGGGTGCTGTCAGAACAAGCTGCTTCTGTTGTTTTGTTTTGTTTCGTTTTCTTTTCTTATATTCTTGTCTCTCTTTTTTTTTCTCTTTTCTTTTGTAATTTTGTCTTTTCTTGTCTTGTCTTTTCCTTTCTTTCTTTTTCTTTTCTTTGGGATTTTGTTTGGTGGTTGAGGTTGTTGTTTCTTTGCGTCATTCTCCCCTTTTTCGGAACAAAAGCAACTTTATCATATTCAATAAGTTTTGTCTCTTGTCTGAAAGATGCAAAATGTTCAGCTCGGATAGACCCTCAATACCCCAACAACATGATCCTGCTGAATCCTATCACCGCCTTGTGATCATCTCCTCCCTCGTTTATATCAACACCAGACCAGCTGAATTTCCCAAGGCTACGGCGATCAATATAAAATATTCTTCTATTTTTATCCGTTTTTCCCCTTATTGCACAGATATAAGCCTTTATCTATATTATGAGATATTCAATCTGTTCATTTCCTTTTTATGTTTATGTCGTGTATATTTGAGTTGAATGCTATTTCTCATCTGCTTCAATCCATATGAGCCAGATCTGTTTTGTTCCCAGTGTGTTGTAGAAAGGGTATTAGATTTTTCTTGTATTGTTGTACACAGACCCAAAAAAGAATGGGATTATTTTGAGCATCACGTAATATCTCTTTTTTATTCAGTGCTTTTTTTTTCCATTCCTGTCATTATGTCTCCCATTGTATGTTTCTGTCATGTGTCGAGCTATGAGACTGACGAGATTTTGTCTCCCCTTTTGGCCGGAATTGAGTTTCATGTACACAATATTATAACAACTTGTTTCTATATATTTGTATTGGCTTTCACTTCATAGTTTCAAAACGTTACAGGAGGGGGGGGGGGTCCTTTAGATATTTGAAAGAAAAGCTTTCTCCCTGTCAAAAGGGTTGCCAAAGCTTGAAATCTGAATAATAAATATTTGTCCTAAGCGTGTATCTGGTGCTGCTGCTAAATCCGTGTCACTTTACGAGTACGATGTCGTTTATCTAGGTCAGTTGTCGACGCCAGGGACTATTACCGCCAGTACTTCCGGCACCCTGCCTCTCTCCGCCTACATACGGGTGTCCAGTTCAAAGTCTGACCACGGCAGCCAAGACCCGGGTGCTGTACCCACGGACCAGGGAGATACAGATACAGGGATATTGACACCGGAACTACTCTCGGAGATGGAAGAGGCCGAGAACGGGACAGAGGCACGACTGGGGGCCAGCAGAAGTGCTGGTAGAAATTCCCATGCTGCTGATGCTTATGCTGATGATAATGCTGATGGCACAGCTGCTTTGATCGGTTCCCAACCACCAGAGAATAGCGAAAACCTTCCAAACAATGAACACCCTCTTGAGTCTGGTATACACTTTGATGAAGAAAAGAGAGAGCTGACATTTGACCTTGATTTATCGAACTCGAATGAGAAAAATATCTTCATGGGATTTTTGAATCATCTTTTGAAAAGCGGACAGGACGAAAAATCTGAGTATGGGGAAGGAGGAGCTCATGAAGATATTGGTTCTAAGCTGGATGTGGAAAGTGGTACAGTAGTGGAAGGATCAGATATCGAGCCTCGGGTGGCAAAAGACGAGTCTGGCAGTAACGTAACTAATCCAGTGACAGAAAACCAGTCCGGCAGTGACGTAACGGATCCAGTTCCAGAAATCGAGTCTGGTGGTACTGACGTCATCAACAAATACACCGAAGCCAAGCTTGGCGAGCCCTCAGACCTGAAACTGGAGATGAGTCCTGACGGGACCTTGACCACAGACTTGCTGCCCAGGAGGGATGATGATGGACTTGCGGGTTCGGGAGTTGGAGACTCGGAGGACGAGGAGAATGATGGCGAGTCCGAGGACAGACGGACAGGTGTGGTCGTGTCTGATTGTAAGTCTGTGGGGACACGCATCAACCTGAAAAACCACATAGGATAGTTGCAAGTTTGTTTTTCCTGCTGTTATTGATAACGTATGTTTCATAGCTCTATCGATGCAGGTAGGTTGTCCATTGAGTTGCGGGATGTTCCCCTCGGAAACATTCCCTCATGAAATTAAAGGGCAAAAGGGAGGAAAATTCGAGGGAAAGGGGGTGGGGTACATAAATATTTTGAAGGGTTCCGTGTAATTAACCTATAACGAAGTAAGCTTAACTGTTTCTGTCTTACAGCGCGAAAATCTTCCCGTGAAATTATGCAACGATCTAAGCAGGTTTGTTTAAATGTAAATTTAAAAAAAAAACATTGCCCACTTCGTGTGATTACTTTTACAGCGTAAGGAAATGTGGTAAGTCTGGTTGATGCGTGGAGCCTCAGAATCCAAGTCCCCGCAGACAGAGGGCCTTACAACACTCCTTCCAGCTACTGACTGAACACTGCTTTTTGTAGTCAATGTAGATCTGAGAACCAGGCCAGCTTCTTCTGATTGATGCTTTGTACTGACCGTTTCTGGGTAAGGTGAGGAGGGGGTGAGGAAGAAGAGGAAGGGTTAAGGAAACGTTAGAGGGTGAGGAAGAAGAGGGAGAGTTAAGAAAACGAAAGAGGGTTAGGAAGAAGAGGGAGGGTCAAGAAAAAGAAAATAAAAAGTGTGTGAGGAATAAGAGGGGTGGTTAAGAAGAGAAGAGAGGAAGAGAAGAAGAAAAGAAGTTTCAGGCTGGGAAGAAAAGGTAGGATGAGTGCAGGATAAGGAAGAAGATGGAGGGTGATGGAAAGAAGGGAGGGTGAGGAAGAAAAGGGAAGGAGATAATGGAGAGTGAAAAGAGAAGGAAAAGTGACAGAGAAAAGGGAGAAAGTTAAGAGAAAGAAGGAAGGTTTTGGACAGAAAGAAGGGTGGGGAAGAGGAGAAAGTTTTCGGGACAGAAGGAAGGGCGAGGAAGAGTAGGAATGGAAAACGCCCTTTTACGACAGTTTTTAGGGCAGTTGTCCATGCTCAAGTGACCGCTTGTATGACCCGTGGACTGCCATCATACATGTATCTCTCTCCCCTCTCTCTCTCTCTCTCATACTCTGTGGCTGACCTTAAATGCTGTTTCATTTTTTACCCTCTCGTGCAAAGCTATAATATTATTAAGCGTTCGTTCCTTTTGCAAACTTCACAGAAACATGTAGCAAAGGAAGATGGTATATATATTGCAAAATTGTATTGACTCTTATTAAGTAGATGTAAAGGAAGATGGTATATATATTTCAAAATTGTATTGACTCTTACTAAGTAGATGTATTTTCTTTAACTCGAATTGAACTTCCTTTTATACAACACACGGTAGTCGCTTCTGTGTAGGTGCTCATCACTTTCGACCGTTTTTAAAGGCGCTCTCCTTGGCTTTTAAAGGAGTAAAAATCCCTCGGAAAGATGATATGCGTCTAAGGTCAGCCACCAAGCTTGATTTTACCTCATTTCCAAGGCATGTTTCTCCTTTGATTCCCTGCCAAATAATAGGTTTGATATGTACATTCGTAAGAAACATTGTCCATCTTTTCTGAATAAACGGTAAGGTTCTGAAGTGAGAAAAAACTCAATATACTACTTAAGGGGGGAAGGGGGGGGGGGCTGGACAATGTTTCCAGAGTGCTGGGTGTGCTCATGCTTTTTTGTAAGTGGAAAAACATTGACTGCATAGCTGCCAACCAGTACGAAAAAGAAACAAACAACAACAACAAAAACCAACCACCTCCAAACCGCATATTTTACGTCGAATAGTATGAATTGATTGAATGTAAAAAGAAGTGTGTGTACATGGTTCGGTTGGGTGGGTTTTTTTAATTCGTTGTAATTTTTGTTTTAATTTCATAGAAAAAAACTTTTCGTTGGGGGGGGGTACTTGACCAATTCCCACCGTCTTGACCCGTTGTGTGGGAAGAGTAGGGGGCTTAGTTTTTTTGTGTATGAAAGGTTGGCAGCTGTGGAACTGTTTCCTAATTTAACTGATTTTTTTTTATTGTTTTACTTAATACCACCTTTATATTATGCGCTTCATCATGTTGTGTTGACTCAAGTGGAATATACATTATAGCATAAACACAGGGCTACTGAACGTGGCGACTAACGCTTTTCTTGTGTTAATTAGTACAACGACATAGAGGGTCTTGTGAAATGTATTTCTTGTGGTTTATATTTTTAAGTATGTGTCATAACATCCTATTGAGAGTAATAATATTCCATTCAGGGTTTGTACAAGATTAATCAAGACACGTATTGTGTGTGGGTTTGTTCTTGTTCTTGGTTCGGTTTTTGTTTTGGCGTTTGTTTGGGTTTATTGTTGTTGTTGTTGTTGTTTTAATCACAGATTTTTAACACATTTTGTCTTTCATTTTTTTCGTAGTCATAACTTTTAGCCCACGTCCACGTCATGCTGTCATTTTGTCATCACATTTGCACATCTAATATCTTACTTTTTGGTTGCTATTTATAATTAGTAATAGCTAGGTTCGTTCACATTTTGAATAAGGTTGTCACAAGAGCGCTGGTTCCATCGACATTCAAAATTAAGAACATTATATTTTTGTGCTCTGATATCATGTTTTAGTCACGTGACAGCTTGTGAGATATGCTATCCACCAGAACACTGTTATTAGTAGTATCATGTTTCTAGCGTGTAAACTTTTGTGAACCTTTATGCTAGTTCGGTTGCCTCTGATCTGTATTGGCTTGTTTGCATAGCTTTATCCCTATCACCTTACCATAGTCATTTCGAAAAAAAGAAAGAAGATTGTTTGCGATAATTGGGACAAATATGTACATATATCTGACTTCGTTCTTAACTGTCCATTGATATTATCATCCTGTCTTCTTTCTTGTCATGTACGTATATACCTATCTTTATCCATCTTTCTCTTTTTGTGACAACTCTGACCTTTTATTCGCTGAGGAAAAAAATGTGCGGTTATTTTATTTATTTATTTTTAAAATCTTTTTTGGGGGGTGATCTTTTTTATATTTCAAGATGTTTTTTCATGCTCTTATGCTCTTTTGCTGCCATCATAATGGTTCTAATGCTTTCTAGACAGCAATGAATGTAGCTGCGTGCACTAAACTCTGTGCCCCGAATGTACTCTCGCTTGTGATCTTCCCACTATAATCATTATAGACGTGTATTCATCCCACAGTTTCTTGGCTTATTTTGAAATCAATGCCTAACTCTGTGACATGCTCGCCGCTTCCCCTGTAGTGGAGACGTGGGCAATGTCAAACCGTTCATGTAGAAAGAGACGCTGAAAATGTCAGCAATGCTTATATATGTCGGGCACGAAGGATATTAATAATGTGTTGAGAGATTGTTGAAGATAAAGATGGGGGGCTAGTTTTTACTTATCGAACAGACTGTGTTGGGGATTGGGGGGGGGGAGATAAGGCGGTGGTTCTTTGTCTTTAGATGTATATTATGATGATGATCCCTTCGAAGTTGCTTCCAGTTTATGATAGTATCACTGGCAACAGGGAATACAATCATTATGTGTATCCCATCTTGCTTTGTTTTTTTGATTTTTTAGTTGTGAACACAATTTAATAATTTTCTCCAATGCAGCATATTACACGACGAAGCTAGTGTTGCTAGTAAGCTCCTCTATTGTGAACATGCAAGGGTTAATTTTCACAAGAAGCATTTGAGTTTGATAGTGTTTGTGCTGTGAGGGAGACGACTATCTTTTGTAATTGTGAGCACAGTTGCAGTATAAATGCCCCTCCTAGTAAGACAAAACGTTATTTTTGCTGCTTTTTCTTTTCATAACCAAACCCCCCCCCC